TGGATATTAAAAATTTAATACCGAAAAATAATGGTATTAACAAATAAAATTTTATTAAAGAGGGCGGGATATCTTTAGAATTGAAAGAAATATTTAAATTTAACGGATTTTATTTTTTTGTTGCATTATTTATGATTGCCACTGTATATTATAAAAGAAATGATTATAATATAAAAAAGTCAACATTAAATTTTTTATCAACAATATGATTTTTAATAAAATTTTTATTTATTATAATTATTAATAAAAAATAAAATTATTTAATAATAGTTAAAACTTAAATAAAATAATAATAAAATTATAATATGAGATATGATAAAATTCTTTTAATTTGACAAAAAGCTAAAATTGTCAAAATTATATTAAAAATTTAGAAAAAGTTATAATAAAATTTTTTTAAGAAGATTTTAGTAAGTATCTATAATTATAATATTAAAGATAAAATAAATATAATTTTATATTAATAATATTAAATATTAAATTTATTTTATCTATATTAATTTAAAATTAATATTTTTATTTTTGATTATTTAATTAAAATTTAATTTGATTTATATTTTTTATTATTTTTAATTAATATAATTATTTTTTTTTATTATTAATTTAATTTTTTATCTATTTTATTAACATATTTTATATCAAATATTTTTAATAATTTATTATATAAAAAAATGCATTATTATTGATGTATATATATTAAATATCTAAGTTAGATAATTGATTTATTTATTAGAATTTTAATTTTAAAGAATTCATTATTTTACAATAGCTAAAATTCTTAAATCAATTTTGTAATTTAAAAATTAAACTATATAAATTTATTAAACTTATTATATACTATTTTAAATTATTGATTTTTCTTTAAAAAAAATTTAATAAAAGTTTTGCAAATTCTTTAAGTAATATTATATATTTTAATTAATTACTTCAAACTTATTTTTAAATAATATTACTTATTTATCAATAAAATTTAGTAATTAAAAATATCATTTTTATGATATATTTTGTATGTAAAAAGTATTACTTTTCTTTTTACTAAAAAAGATAATATACTTAATTTTTATAATAAGATAAACTAAAATATATTTAGATTATATTAAAACAATTTAAGTTTTAGTATAGTTTATATATTACTAAAATAAGTATTATAATTAAAAACAGCATTATTGAGTTAAATTTGTAGTAAATTTAAATTATCCAATAATATAATTAAATTATAATTCAATTAAAATTTAAAGGTAATTATAAAATTATCTTTACTTATTATAAATTAAATATTCTTTTAAAATTATTAGAAATATTGATAATGAAAAAGATTAAAACTGAAAAATTATATTTATATTAAGAGAACAAATTTATATAATAATAAGTAATTATGAGATGTAATTATATTTATTATTGATAGAATAATAATTTACTTAAATTTTTTCATATTAATTATGAATAATAAAAGATTAATTTATATGAAGAAATTTTAAAATAATTATAAGATTATATTTCTTTACAAATTAAAAAGCTAATAGTAAAATATTATATTATAATTAAAATAATTATTTTGATTATAATTATTATTATAAAATATATAATAACGTCAAATTATATCATTATATTACATTAGTTATAATTTATAAATTTATTTTATATTAAAATATATATGTTGTACATCAGATGTTAATTTGCATTAGATGTTAATGGATACTAAATATAGAAATAATCAAAGATGATTATCAGTAATGTTAATAAAGAATTAAAGAATTGCTAATAATTTAGACTAGTAAACATTTGATGCAAATTGATATCTAACGTATAATATATACAAGATATTATAATAGCTCTAAAACTATAAAAATTGATACTTTTATTTAACTATAATTAAATTAATTATACATATTTACTATTAAAAATAATAATTATATAATTATTTTTAATGAAAATAATAAATAATAAATACTTTTAAAATTTATGAATCAATTAACAAAAAAGTTTTTAGAATTAAATAAAGATTTTGATGATTAGACTAATATTAAATAAAAAATATTTTGTTGATATTATATCTAATTGTATCAAAATAAAATTATTAAACTATAAAATTACTTAAAAATAGTGCTAAGATGAGAAATCTCTATAAATAAATCTGTAGAAGTTACAGAAGCTAAAAAAGTGTGAGCAGAATCCATAATTGTTGGTTACAATTTGATCTAGTATCATTCTAAAATTACATAAAATTTTATTTTCACAATATTTATATAATATCACAATTAGTTTATAATAATTAATTAAAGTATGTGAAGGATATTAATGTTTTCTATTTTGAAAAATACCAATATTTTATAAAAATATAAAGATGTTAAATTAATAAAAAGATTTACAAAATTTCATTCATTAGGTGAAATGAGCAAACTCATAATGAATATAGTTTGTTTTATTAAAAATTTCATTCAAGTTCCAATCAGTTATATAAGATGACATAACTTGTGTTTTATAATAACATTTAATTTGACCTGAGCAACAACTTTGTGATTCGTCATTTTCATGTATAATTAATTTGTTGTGATTGTCTTTGTTGTTGATCTCATTCATCTATATCCTCTTCCTACCAAATTTCATCATTTTCATCATTATTTCTAATGGATTTGCTAATTCAGTTTTATTACTTTAAGTGACAAAACTAGCTATTTTTATCAATATCTAATACACTTCGATCAGCACATTATTAACATTAATAAGAATTATGAAACAAAAATATTATTTAAATATGTTTTTCTTCTGTTTTGCCGGTTATTATATGAAATGGATAAAATAAACTAAATAATTTAAAAGGATGTGTTTCGTTTACATTTTTACAAAAAATAGATTGAATTGTGGTGTTAAAACGGTAGAATTTATGATGATCTACTAATTAAGACGGTTGTCGGACATGTTTGGTGACCAATATTCATTAGAAGGTGCTTTGCAATTTTTATTTCAACCAAAATGTTATTTATACGATAAATTTTAATAATATGATGTGGCAGAGTTTATTGATGTGACAAACTTTATTTTTGTTTGTTTATCGAAGTATGGCGAAGTTTATTATTATGTGGCGTGGCAAAATTTGTTGACAGACATTATATGGCTGAGTTTTTTTTTTGGAAGCAAATGATGATATTATAACACTCGTTTGGAGTTCTTTATCAAATAAAATGCAATTTATAAATATATTTATTATTAGAAAAAGAATTCAAATAGGCGAGATAAATTTGGACATATAAACTTTTGTTCATGTGAAAATAATATATATCTAAATCCCAATACTGTTCGCTGTAGTTAAAGACGTAAAGGAAGAAATATTATTGATGTATGTATGCTATTTCATGGGTGCGCTTTTAAGGGTTTCTAAAAATTTCACATGTGAAGATGAATTCATATTGTACCACGATAAGATAAGAATTATTTCACCTAAAAAAATATCCTTATCTCTAAAATCATGGCTAAGTTTGTTTATAATTGTTTATGATAAATAATTCACATGGTCATATGATCAAAAAAATTTGGAGTATAAGCCCCCTCCCCAACTTTCTTTAATATTAAAGATCTACAAAACATTATATTTAAGTTAAAGCTTATTATCGTTATGATACGGTGTATTTCTATAATAGGAAGACAAAATAAATCATCTTTACATAAACGCATTTTCTCAAAATAAACTCACCATTTTAATTTTCTCATTATGTTGGAAAATAAAGCTAGCATTATCATTTTCTTAGTCAACATTTACGAGTGCAATGAAGTTATGAATTTCATTGAAAATGATATAAAAACGTTATATTCATGCATCCGCGTAAATAGGTCATTTTGTCGAACCTTTATTCCAATTCTTTGGAAGAACCCATTTAAATTCATCAGTGACGATAAAACATTGGTCCAATTATTTAGTACACTTATTCGTTGCCTTCACCCAATTGACAAAAAATGGTTGGAGAATGAATATTCGATTCAAGTGGACAAATTCCATACATCAAAATGTACTTTAAATATCACACTTTCATTAAAGACTTTGAATTAAACCGATTACAAAGAGCGATGAGACTTTGGGCTACGGAGAATTTGGCTGGTAAAAAAGAAAAGAACGATGAATCTTCAACAAAGAGAAGAATCATTAGCAAAAAAGTTAATAGGATTAACCATCACATTGGAAATCTCCTTTTCAACAAAGGAGGTCAATACGGTTCTCTTAATATTTACTATAATGATT